TAATTATCTATACATCAGGTATATTTAAATATTTATATACTATTACAATATTTATTAATATTTTGAATTAGCTTTTATTTTTATATTTTCAGTTCAGTTCAAACTTTGTCACTTTATTTATTTTTTTTATGGTTTTATGTGATTTTGTATTTTTTTTATGTTTTTATTTAGCTTTATTTTTTTTATTTAATTAATTTTTAAATCAGGTCTTTCGAATAACTTGCACAGAAATTAGTAAGCATATCTCGCTTCCTGCCCACAGCCACCTCAGCACAGCAAATACAAGACCTACATGTGTCGGGACATGAAACAAAAAGGCGGCTGTCCTCGCGGAGCAAGTTGCACCTTCGCTCACTCTCAGGAAGAGCTTGAAAAGTACACAGCACTTTAAGTACGTTAAATAAAGCGTAATAAGCATTAGCATCAGCCTCACCACCTCTTCTCTGACGACAGGTACCGTAAGATGAATAAACGTTTGGGAATGAGGCGACAGCTCAGCCAGTCCCTGACCCAGCTCAACGAGATGGACTTCGGCGCCGGTCTGTTGCCTGACGAGGGGCCGCCGATGGAGGGACTCCCACGCAAACACTCCTCCATCACTAACGTCATCCTAGCAACAGGACATGATTCCACCTTGGCCCACCTAGTTTCCAGAGGCTCGGACCCGTCATATGACCCAACACACAAACCAGGGAAGATGGAGTCTGGGAGCCTCAGTGCACCTGGCTCACCTCCAGACTCGTGAGTTTATTTGTTTATTAGCGGTGGGAAATAAATCATATATTAGCATGGGGGATGTCAAACTTTTTTACACCACATATTGCCAATGAGAATATCCCCTTTCTAAGGATCCCTTTCGTAAAGTATAATGTAAATTTTCATGTATAGAGCTATGTTTAAAATAAAAATATTATAAAGATTAACTGTAAAATATTAATATTAATATTTAATTAATTAGAAACTGTTACTATCTTAAAATAATGAATAGATCAAAATATATCAGAATTGTCTCATGATTTTCAACCAGTGTTTAGAAAGAATTAAATGGCTTTTATTATTTTTATAACTTATTTTATATCATATTATTATAACAGTTAGGGTTGTCAAAAAGTACCGACATCGGTACCAGTCGATACCGAAATTTAAAAAATGAGACGATACCAGCATTTCCCGCTAGAACTTGAGCGCTGCTGATGGATTCTTAAACACTGTTGATTGGCCACTGTGTTCATGCGCTCAACAGATATGTCTGTGATTGGCTACAATGATCATTGCGTCACGCTCTTCACCGAGCGAAGAGCTCGCACAGAAGGACATGGGACAGCTTGAAAGCTGCATCTGTCAGCGGATCCATCTATGAGCAGATATCTCTATTGTCTCATTTTTAAATTCGGTACTTTTTGACAACCCTAATAACAGTATTAGTAGCAGCTGCACTTTATTTATTTTATTATTATTATTTTACAGGTTTTCACTTTTCTAAATTTTGCGATACTGACTAATTGTCTATTCATCGGTGTTATTATTTATATACTATTATAGTATTTATTCATATTTTTTATTTGCTTTTTATTTTCAGGATTCATTCTATTTTATTTCAGGTTTAGTAATTTTGTGCACTTTTTATTACTTTTAATTAATTTTTTTATTACTATTTCTATTTAGCTTTCATTTATTTTTACTTCAGTTTTAGTAGGTTTAGTGCTTCAACTTATTTTCACTTTAAGTTTGTCATCTAATATTTATACTTTTTATATAATAAATTATAAGATGATAAACTTAACGGGAAACTAGAAATGATGCATTGGCAATAGGGCTGCGCGATTAATAGCATGCGATTGTCATGCGCATCTTGTCAGTAAAGCTGGTTCTGTAATCTCCAGCACGTGCTTTCAGATGGAGCAGCATTTACTACACAGAGCTGTAGTTCACTGGCCAGCTACGCAAAACCGTGTTCATAATCGCGCGATAATGAAATCCAAGATACCGTTCTGCGATTATAAAATGCTGCTCCATTTGAAAGCATGTGAAAATACCACATTTAATAACATGTTTTTACTCCAAACTCACTTCATAACGTCAGTCGAGTGTTTGAAATAAATCCTTCTTTGAGATGATGTTGCTTTTTACACCGAATAAGGCACGCAATATTTCATAGTATTCTAAGCAATGATAAAGGCTGTCGATTAGCATTGTATTATTGATATACTTTATTATAATAAGACGAACGCAGATAAACTCAGTAGTTGTGTGTTCATTAGTCACGTTGAATCAGTGAAAGCAGTTAAATCTTGTTTATTCAGCAACGCTATAGGGATTTCCTAGGTTTCTTCTGCGGGGCGTATTTGGAGTTTCGGCGCGAGAGCGCCCTCTGGCCTTCGGATGGAGCTTTACTCCTGATCACAGAACTGTGCTTCACTGAAAGATACGCATGACGATCGCAGCTTCTGCCTAATCGTGATTTATCACCATTTAATTTCAATTAATTGTGCAGCCCTGATTGGCAGCTAACTGAAATAAGTTTTAAAGCACTAAAATTCAGCTTAATTTTAATAAACTAATCAGAATTATTGATTTATTAATGGTTTAACAGTAACGACACTGCTATACATTATCCAACTTATTGCATACTTACTCCAACTGACTACTTGCCATATAAATGATTAAATGGACATGAAATGTTAATTTAAGTCAAAATTGTTTTAATTTTAATAAAGCAAGAGTGCAGAGTGATTGTGCACTTTATCTCTTGATTTACAGATTGGAATCCATCCCAAAACCAGGGATGCTCATAAATTCCCACTGCAGGGTAGCGGGCGAAGGCGCAGTCGGACAGAAGCACATGCCTGCGGTGCCTAGAGTTCCTCACATGTACTCACCACACCAGTCTGAACGGTATTACTCTGATACAAGAGGCCCTCTGCCACCCTCCGCCCAATATGAATCCTCCCAGTACCCTGCAGGTACCAAAACACTGTTGTTCTTTTGAGTAAACACATTACGTTTTGCGCTTCTAAATCTTTCCACTTTAAAAAAATCTTAATTTTCCTCTTTTCAACAGGTAATCCTTATCCTCACCACAATGTGCACCCACGCTACGCCCGCCACCCGGCTCCAGATCAAGGCATGCCACCATATCCGGACTCCTATTCCAGCTCCTACACTTCAGAGCGCCAGTGCACCAACCCCAGCTCCCATTACGGATACTCTTCACACCATGACGGCCGTCGCCACTCAGCCTACGCCCATCCCCAGACATTCCCCTCACGGGAGGAACTGGTGAGAAGGAGTCCAGACGTTCCCCCGCCCCTACCACCCCAAAACGCTTCGTACCTGCCAGAGCCAGACAACTATAACCACTCCAGTCACATCAGGAATTACCCGAGGGTAAGATCCATTACCTGCAATATTTAAGCTGTACTGGTCTCATTTAAAAGCTAAAGAAAACATAATCTCTGATAATGTGTCCCCAGAATGCCTACACACGACCTCAGCCCTCCCTAGACTACCTGCACCGCCGAAGACAGGAGATCATGGCCCAGCTGGAGGAGAGAAAGGTGGCTTCCCCATCACCCTTCAGCTCCTCACACTCATGCGACCCCAGCTACCCTCAGGACATGAGGGGGCAGAGCCATGTAAGCCAGAGGAAGTATATTTCATCGACGATAATAATAATACTAAACAAAATGTAGAAGGGATGCATGTTTAATCTAAATGAAACAATGGTTTGAAGTTTTAAAATAAAGAAATTAAGATTGCCGTAAATTAGATTTGTAAAAAATAAATAGTTATAATAATGGTATAACTGGTACTCTAAAATGATTATCTTTATCTGAAATCTATTTTAGTAAAATAATATCTTATATAATTCTTATATAATAAGAATTTTTAAATTTTATTTATTTATTGTCAATATTGTTGTTATTATTGTTGTTATTTCTACATATTAGTAGTAGTATTGTAATTTAAAAAATCATGTAGTAATAATAATGAAATACTCTGTTTTAGTAAAGTATTATAGTAATTTCCTATTTTGTTTTTAATAATAAATATTTTTATTATTTATATTCATATTGATATTTTATTGCAATTTGTTTTATATAATAATAGTTATTATTATCTTTTTCTGAAATCTGAGTGAAATATATTTTAAAGATTTATTAAAATTGTATTTATTGTTAATGTTATTATTATTGTTATTTATACAGTATTGTAATAAAAAAACATGTAGTAATAATTAGGGCTGGTATCGTTCAAAATTTTTCGATACTGATACCTTGACTTCAATACCGGTTCCTGAACGATACTTTTTTCGATACCAATTTTATGAAATCAATTTGAACAAGATTACATTATCTAAAAAAAAAAAAAACTTTGGTTTTATTTTTCAGCTTGTTGATGTTCATACAAACTCAAAGACTCATCTCCTGAGCCACTGCACAAAGGAACAAAATGTAACCAACACAATAAATCAGTGCAAAATCGTTTTAATAAAGCTCAAATAGTCTTCAGTTTACACATCTGTTAGGCTACATTTACACTAGTTAGTGTTCGTTTTAATAGTGTGGCAGGCTTATTGGCTCACTGATGCTGATGAGATTAACCCCGTAGGTTTCGAAATTTGGTACCGAACGACAAGACGTTTTTCGATACTCGATGGTATCGAGGCAATTCGGTCGGTGCCTAAAAAGTATCGAACTCGATACCCAGCCCTAGTAATAATAATAATAATAATAATGAAATACTCTTGAGTAAAATTATAGTAATTTCTTATTGTATTTTTCATATTTTATTTTTAATTTTCATATTGATATTGTTGTAATTTTATTAAAAACATTAATTTTTTTTTTTGCTTAATATAATTTATTATATTTTCTGAAATCCATTTTAGTAAAATTATATATATTTTAAAGATTTATTTTTATTTTATTTATTTATTTTATATTAATATTGTATTGTAATTTTATTTAAAAACAGCATTATTCATATTTCTAATTTTGTTATTATTATTATTGTTGTTGTTGTTTTAATGTATTTTTATATTGATGCATAATCACAAAATGTTGGGAGAAATTGTGCAGTCCTACAGACTAGCACAGCAAACCTTGAGCTATTTTTATTGCATTTTAAATCACATTTTTATCAGAAAAAAATTGCAATTATATTTTTCCCCCAAATCATGCAGCCATATCTGTGTTGTTCACAGTACATGGAAGACAACTAGCATTATTCATATTTCTAATTTTGTTAAATATAATAATAATAATAATAATAATGATTATTATTATTGTTGTTGTTGTTTTAATGTATTTTTATATTGATGCATAATCACAAAATGTTGGGAGAAATTGTGCAGTCCTACAGACTAGCACAGCAAACCTTGAGCTATTTTTATTGCATTTTAAATCACATTTTTATCAGAAAAAAATTGCAATTATATTTTTCCCCCAAATCATGCAGCCATATCTGTGTTGTTCACAGTACATGGAAGACAACTCCCACAGTTTTGGACACTTCCGGGAACCGGACTACACCGGCTCATATTCGCCTTGGTCATGTGACACCTTCGGTTCCTACATTGGCAGCAAAGATATAAAGTCCAAGGAGGGCATGAAGTCCATGGACACAGTAAGTTTAGCATGTTTAGAGGTACATAAGGGATTCTAAAGCAGGTGTATTTTTACCAAAAAATAAAAATGGTCAAAGGCACACATTGAAGGAGAACCTGAGCTTAAATTTTTTTTTTTTATTTGAGATATTTAAAGCTGAAAGGCTTTAAATTGCAAGGGGATTTTGTCCCGTTTCTCCCACACATCCAGATTTGTGCTGTTTTCAGTGGCTGTTCCATTACAAAAGGTTATCAGTGTTTATTCTGTCTAGTTTGTACTAATCATACTATTGACAAACCAAAGGCCATAAATATATCACAGGCGACCAGTGAGTTTTGTTAATGGATCAGGCTTATTCCATGTTAACGCTTGGATAATATTCTTAAATATTAATAATGAAGTTGGATGCATTTAAATAATAGCATGCTGAATAATTAGCATATTCAAATAGGATTCTTGAGCTAACTGTAACCATTTCTCGCAGCAAAATATAGACAAAGGCAAAAGTCTGAGAGCACATGGCTTGGAGCTTCAGCGCAGAGCGGCAGACGTCAAAGACGACGACCCCATCATTCCCTTTGGCTCCCTGCCCACCGTGTCTCGTTTTGGGGCCATCTCGCGCACGTCTAAACAGGGCTACCCGCCAAACAGTCCCATGCCACCCTTGCCAAAGTCAGCCAAGCACACCGCTTCAGCTGGTACACTTCTCCTGCTTTGTCTCAGCATTGCTAATGGGACAACATGATTATTTCAGTGTTTTTGAATGGTCTTTGTCTTCTCTTTAAGCTGACTACTCCTATGCGAATCACAGCGGGTGGAGAGGCGACTCTTACCAGCCACACCAAACGTCTCAGGGGCACTTCAGCGAGCGGTATGTCTCCAGCCCCACCCTTTACAATAATCTCTTGGTTTCTGTTTAGTTTTATTCTAGAACTGTTCTAAATGAGTGAAATATTTTCCTCTTATCCCGCAGATCCAGTTTATCCCCAGCCGTGCAGGCGCGTGAGCAACTAAGGATGGAGCTACAGCAGGTCAACCTCCAAATAAGCCAACAGACGCAGAGTCGCGGCCTGGAGGTGAGACTGTCCGCCCTGCTGGATGTGTCATTTTATAGGCCTGTTCACACCTTGTCCGATCCAACTAAATGACACCAAAGTATAAACTATTCACTTAAAAAATAATAAAATACATTTTTATGTACTGCATATATTGTTTTATTTGTATATTAGTGCGGTCAAACGATTAATCGCATCCAAAATAAAAGTTTTTGTTTACATAATATGTGTGTATACTGTGTATATTTATGTATATATAAATACAAACACATGCATGTATATATTTATGAAAATGTTATGCTTGTTAAATATATTTATATATAATATAAAATAACAATATAAATATATACATGTAAATATTTTGAAAATATTTACTGTATGTGTGTGTATTTATATTTGCATAATAAATATATACAGTACACATGCATATATAATGTAAACAACAACTTTTATTTTGGATGTGATTAATAACGATTTCTTTATGGAATGCTACTAAATGACACAAGTTTTAAAAAATCCACTTATATATATATATACATAATTATTTTTTTTTAAACGGTATACATTTTTATTTATTTAATTGATTTCTTTTTTTTATATTATTTGTGTATGGAATATTATAGAATATAGTGTGTATATATTTATATTTAAAATAAACAGTCAAACCAAAAATGATTTAGACACCAGATATAATGTTTTATTTATTTATTTTTACTAGTGGGTGCAGGAAACTATAGTTCATTTATGTAAGTGAGCATAGCAAAATAAAGTAAACTGCGACATACCCAAAATTTCTTCACACAGTGGACTACCAGTAAAATTGATAAAAAATTTGAGACCAAAAATTATCCAGACACTTGACCTGACCATGTTTTGCTTAAGTGTTTTTTTTTTCTTTTTTCTTTAATTGCTAATGTGACCTTTTTACACCACAGACTGAACAAAATTAAGCATTGCTTGGTAATTGATTGACCTAAATTTGTATTATCTAATTGTGTACTTAGTTAAAATTGATAAAAAATTTGAGACCAAAAATTATCCAGACACTTGACCTGACCATGTTTTGCTTAAGTGTTTTTTTTTTCTTTTTTCTTTAATTGCTAATGTGACCTTTTTACACCACAGACTGAACAAAATTAAGCATTGCTTGGTAATTGATTGACCTAAATTTGTATTATCTAATTGTGTACTTAAAGTTAACAGCTGACAGCTATTCAGTCTAACTCCTTACATACCTTTCTATCAAAGTTATCTGACATTATCAAGATGAATTTGTTCTGACACAGTTTAACTCTGAGTCTTGTTATATTTTATTACCATTTTCTAAACTATAGCGAATAAACTGTGATAATGTGAGAAATGTTGAAGGTGGTAATACATTTTGGTTTTACTATATATAACAATTTAAATAAAGTGTGTGCACCTAATAAGATATATATAAAATGTACATTTTTAATAGAATTTTTCAAAATGGAATTTTATTTAATTTCTAAATGTGATGGTGTTCTGAGGCAAAGTTTTTTTTAATTTTTTTTAATCAAATATAAATTCATGTCCCAGTCACATTTTCTTGGTTAAAAATGGTTATATAATTGTGTGAGTTGTTTACTTTTTTTTTTTAGTCTTCCCATTAACGCCATTATATTGTTCATTCAGACTGATTCGCAAACACAAGAGGTGGGATTTATCGCATGAGCCAATCACAGCCGGACATAACCAGTCATATCCAATCATATATCACTCACGTGACTTTCTCCCATTCATTCTCAATTACCCCCCACCAAACTCACTGCACGGTTTAGGATGTTCTGTTAAAACTCAATGGGCTCAGGGGAGGCGAGAGAGGCGAAGACTCCTGCTGTAACTTTACGTGCTGGTGTCACTGTTGGACAATGTTTCTTTAGAAAAAACGACTGATTTATACTCTTTTTAATATTATATTTTGCAATGTTGTTTTATTTTCATACTCATTAAATTTTTTTTTATCCAATATTTTGAGGCACTGCATCCCTTGCCTCCTTGAAGGAAATGCTCCTGATATATATTTTCACACACATATATATATATATATGTCTTTAGTTGTTGTTATTATAATGATTCAGCTTTTCACTCTCTCTTTTGGCAGAACCCGAGCTCAGTCATGTCCCAGCCATCTCGAGTGGACTGGTCGTCTGGGAATTTGTCCAGTGAGCAGCTGAGTCTCGAGCTGCACCAGGTGGAGAGAGATATCGTCATGAGGACACAGGAGATGGCCATGGTAAGCGAGACATGCAATTTATAGAGCTTCTATTAATTATTCATAATTAATATATTCTATTACCGGTGAATGATTCATGCGACTGCGGCCATTTCTTGAGCAGAAAATCCATTTTTAAGCAAGGTCATTTGTAAGAGTAGTGTTTTTTTTTTTTTTTTTTACTGGTACTGTTGAGTGTAATTTGAGTAAATTTATATCTCTGTTCACTCAGTGAAGTTCAGGAAATCATGTGATTTACATTATTTTGCCTTCAGGAGAACCACGATGGCAAGTACAAGCGGGTCTCAGTGGAAAATGGACAAGACGAACACACTCTGCAACGAGATGAACATCCACTCACTCTTAGGTGAAATATAACTTAATATACATAATAAATCAAAAGAAAAATATAAAACATTTTACCAGTAACATTTCAGTTGTGTAAGTGCTATTTATGTATATATTTTTTTTAAGTCAAGATTTGTGCTTTCTTGTGTCACGGTAGTTCTCATCGCCTTTCACTCTTTAATTGTAGTGAGGGCTCAAACGGCTCCATCGCTTTGGTCCAGGACTGTGGTCTCGTCAGCAGCAGCTTGTCCTCGTTGACCAGCAAGACGTCATCTCTCAGTTTGTCCTCCGAACAGGTGGCCAGCAGCCCTGATTTGCCCAAGAATGGAGTCGTCCACTCCTAGCTGGCTCTTTCTACCTCAGATTCCCCTTCCGCAACCACCGCCCCTCTATTATGCCAGGTTAAACCCTCTAGAGTAGGATGATCCATCATCGCTGTATTCATTCGCTTAATCCTGAGCGCTTAGCTTCCTCCGCTGACCCTCAAACACCCATCAGGCAAATATGGGTGGGATTCACTGTGCATGTGCCTCAGCAGACTTGCACAGTCATGCCCTGATTTAGTTTCTTTTTACAGCAGTATCTGCTGTCGATTATTTTCTTCCTGTTTTTTTGTTCACCTCCTTCCCAAGACTAGCCTTTTTTCATAGTAAATCAGGGTGAATCCGAAAAATTCACGGTCTTAAGTGTATGTCAGGCAACATATATGATGATCTCAGTTATGTTGTTTAACTATCATTAATCCACTATCTTGGGTTTCAAAATTGCATTTTTATCATCATGTGCTACGTTTTCGGTAGTTACGCTCTTTGTCGTGCTTGGTGTGGCGTTTACACTTCTGTCAGAGTTTACAGTGTTTAAATGGATTAATTTTTTATTTTTTTTTTACAATAACTGCAGGCTTGCTGCATATTCAACCAATTTTGACGGTTTAAACTATGTATCGTGTTTCATACATTAGGCTTCATTTAGGCTTTTACAGTGTGATTGCTGCAATGCACATTATTGTCTGTTATAGAAATACTCGTAAACCCCAATGTTCACTGATTTGACCTCAGTTGTTCTCATGCCAACAAACCCAAAAGCCTTTTCCAGTCTTAATAGGGCCCTTGTATTGTTTTCAGCATATTACACTACACTGCCTGTGGGATTTCGATTGAACCGCCTGTAATCATCATTTTCTGTGGTAATGTCCTCAGGGATGCATTATTCGACCTCTATATTTTGTGGACGTGAATAGAAATAACAATCCTGGTTACTCTGGTTTTTTCATAGTGGGTATAGTTACATTTTTCCATCCTGAGGATGGAAAGAAAGCCGCTACGGTAATGCATTCAGATGCATTCTGTTGTAAGAGTGCGTATATACTACTCTTCACTTTGTCAGTGAAATTACGATCTTCAGATCAAGCCACATTTTTGTTTGTGATGCAAAAATGTGATGTTTCTCATCCTGAAACATGTGGCATATATTCAAAGCAAAAAGAAAGACTTTGATCCAGTTGTAGCCACCTCAAGACTCTCCTTCATTCTCCGTTTCGTCTTTGAAGTTTAAAGAAGGTTGTTTTGATGGGCCGGTTCGATCGAATTCCCCTACAGGCTGGGCTCAAGCGTGTACATCACAGTCCTCCTCGACTTCATTTTAATACTGATCGGGGGATTAACTGAGCTCCTATACTTTGCTTTACTGTCACATGTCTTGCAGGAGACCGTTTGGACTTGAAAAGCTTGGACTCCTAACCTTTGAAAGGAATAGTTCACCCAAAAAGTAGAACAAAATCGGAACAGATTTGGAGAAATTTAACATTACATTACTTGCTCACCAATGCATCTTCTGCAGTGAATGGGTGCCGTCAAAATGAGTCTAAACAGCTGATAAGAACATCACAATAATCTACAAGTAATCCACACCACTCCAGTCCATTAATTAATGTCTTGTAAGGTGAAAAGATGCGTTTTTGTAATAAACAAATCCATCTTTAAGACGTTTTTAACTTCAAACTGTTGCTTCTGGCTAAAATACAAGTCCATAATATTGCTTTCTTCAGTGAAAAAAAGTCATGTCGTTTGAACCAGAAGAGAAATCTGCACAGATCAAGCACCATTTATAATTGAAAACCGTGCAAAAACAGATATGGATTTTGATGTGAGCGGACAACAGAGGATGGATTTTTTCACTGGAGGAAGCATTATTATAGATTATAGACGCATATTTTGGTCAGAAGCAACGGTTTAAAGTTTAAATAAAAAAACTTTAATGTGAAAAGCTGCATGTTTGTAAGAAACGGCATTCATTGATGGACTGGAGTGGTGTGGATTATTGTGATGTTTTTATCAGCTGTTTGAACTCCCATTCTGACGGCACCCATTCACTGCAGAGGATCCATTGGTGAGCAAGTGATGTAATGCTAAATTTCTCCAAATCTGTTCAGATGGAAAAACCACTAAGCCATGAATGCTTCCATATTTCACATTATTTGGCATTGGTTGTTTCCGACCCAACCAAAAATTTAGTTTGTAGTTGCGTCTATTCCAATGATCTTTATAGTCCCACCACCAGCCAGTTCTGCCGTGTTGTTGGGTACAAAAGTAAAACTTTGTAGAATCTGCAGACATTTTTGACATGTGTTGGCAGATTCTGCACAGACCTTGGCAACTCTTAAATTTGCCTTAACGTTAAAGTCCACAACATTATATTTCCGTCAGCTAATCCGCGATCAGTATTGTATTAGGTTTTTTTAAAACACTTGCACTGTAAATCTCAAACTTGCATCCTTCCATGTAGTTGCTTCCTTGGCGGCGAGATCTCTTCACTTACACTGTCAGGCTCATTAATTTAGCTTTAAGTTCGAGGTTATTTTATTTTAGTTTTTTTTCCTTCCTGCTAGCATATAAATGGTCTCTTGAGACATCCTAGACAACCTTAAAAGCACCTATTTTGGTGGAACTTCTCTTAAGTTGGAGTTGATTTCTATTGTTTTTATTATTTTTGTTATTACTGTCGCTTTGGTCTGAGCTTTCGACATTTAAGCAATCGTTAAGATTGGATATTGCAACTTCGTTTAGGCAACCACTGTGAAGCACAGTGTAGACTTTAAGGATAGCACGAATTTACCCAAAATTAGTTTGAAAGAAACAAAGAAAAGCAGAAGCTTTTTGTTGTTGTTGGTTTTGAAGCAATTAAAATGGATTACGAACGCCTGGTTTAAAAAGGCAAAAGCATGTTAAAACGCTCTTGTAGGTATTTTTAGGATCTAGAAGTCCTAGGTCCACCTGGGTAACATCATCTTTATTTTTTCAGTTGAAAGGAACTTTATCTCTAAGGAACTCTTTATCTCAGGGTTGATTTTAGTGTATTTGGGTGTAAACATCATGTTGCGCACTCTCTCTTTTTTTTTTTCTTTTATTCTTCAGGACTGCAATTTTCGCTTAACCGGTTTCGAGACTTGAAGACGTCAAGACTGTGCCTTTATGCAATTGTGCAGTTATTCACGTGTTTAGATGTAGCCGAACCATCTCGATTTATAATATTCAACTCTTCTCAGTCTTCTAAGTCAGCATTTATATTAAATGATCTCTACGAATCTGCAGGCGTTCAGGCCGCCAAACTGAGTACTGCCTATCCTTTCTGAGATAAAGGAATTTATTGCCAGGTCATTTGTTTTTGTAGCCATTTTATGTGTTTCATGCAAGTGAACTTGAGTATTTAAGCATGTTTCATGGTGTGATGGTGGTATTTTGATGTTAGGGTTCTGAATTGGAACAGGAAAACAAGGACAGTCTGTGTATTTTGACATAATTCGGTATCCATATTCAGAGAGGAAAGTATTAGGCTTATTTTCCTATTTAAAGACATTATTGGAGGTCTGATAATACAGATAAACAAATCAAGGTTTACTGATCTCATAAAAGCCATTAATACAATCCCTGACCGTTCCTTTGTACCTAACCAAGACTGATTTTCAGTTTTTCCTTGAACGAAACGCAGATTGTATAAACTTTTGCAGAAGGGCTCAATTTATTATGTATCTGAAGTCAGCCATTTGAAAACCAACTGTTTTAAACTATTGTTGCAAAGCAACATTTATATGATCGCCCATGAGCCAATGGGAATCACTATCACTGAAAAGGGAACCAAAATGTTTATCCAGGTGAATCTCATGAAACTTGTCAAAAAATGGTCACAATTCACCCCAAAATAAGTGTATATTGCATGAAATGAAGCCCATTTTTGCAACCTCGTTAATTTTTTGCGTGGAGAATGTTATTGTCATGACATTAAACAGAGTAATACTGTATTGCAAGACATAATTTAAAAAAATATATATAAAAATTACAATTATTGATACATCAATGTAATATTTATAGTACTGCCTTTATAGAATTTTTTTTGTTTTTAATCTGCTTTAGTTACTGTATCACAGTGATGAGAATTTATTTATTTATTTTTGCAAAATTGGCTTAATTGTTTCAATGCAAACAAATCTAACAATAAAAATAAGTGCTTGATTTTTAATGCAATTTTTTATTTTGATTTTGAGGTGAAATATGACACTTTTTTTTTCTTTCTTTCTTCTTTTTTCGTGAGGTTCATCCACCCAGTGCTGACTTCTTTTATTAAAAAAAAAAATAATAAAATTTGTATTTATGATCAGTGTCTAATAAAAAAAGTCTCAGTGTTTCCTCACTGGAACTGATTTTCTTATTGTGATTGTTGACTATGTTCAGGGTTCGTTTTGAAATACGAATGTAGTACTAATTAGTGTCAAAAGTTGTAAACGTGGAAAAAAAATAGGAATTGAAATCAGAATTTTGACACTTGGTGCCTGAAACACCCAAGATGGTAGTATGTTTTCCCACACAGATAAATGATTAATGGTACATATTGTTCCCTGGCCTGGAGGGGAAAGTATGCGCCGTGCACATACACACACAGTAGATTTACGAGAAGTCATAATGTTACTTGAAAACACAAGGGTTGTGCACAAGTACAGGCTTTAGTGTTTTAGCCTCTAGCTAGCTGTAGAATGTAGTTTTGAAAGGAATGATTGTGTGTTTGTGTTCAAGTGTGTCCAAAGAGAGTGCTGTCCACCTCATTTCTGTATGTTTGTTCCCACTGTAACTCGTTGCTTGCACTCATGTATTGACTTTTTCGTGAGATGAGGTGTTGCATTGTGGTCTTTTCACCATGATTCTTAACATCGGGATATACAATTGTTTTTGATTATTTCTCCCATGTTATCTCATGATAGACTGCTTAAATTAAGGTACATTTTAACTTCAACCTGAATAAGAAAGTCAATGTCTGTATATTATACTCCATTAAGGAATGTTTAGTATATTTCTCCAATGTGGATGTAGTTGTAATACCTTTTTTTTTTTTTTTTTTTTCCTCTTTGTACAAGAATTCACTGTGTGAAATTTTGGATTGCATTTTTGTATAATACAATTGCTTTTCTTCTGCAGGGGGTATTGCTAACTGGATTTTTGAATTAGATTTTGAAAAAACTTGAAAAAAAATTATTTAATAAGAAATGTATTTTATGTGCAGCAGTGATTCTGGCATGGATTATGATTAAATGACATTGTAAACCATTTTCCTATCTGGTCTTTCTTACAAATTCATGCACTTTTACACAACAACCACTAGGTGTTGAACATTGAACAAACGGCAAAACAACTGATAACAAACAAAATAGTTTCACCTCAGGCATTTGTACTGAAATAGTTCTTTTTAACAATGTTTTGAACAGATTCCACATTATTAGTCAAATTTGCTTTGCTTGTTGTTAATCTAACAAAACCAATCAATAGCTCAAAGGTTGTCCTGAGTAAACTTTCATCTCTCTAGTCACTCCAGTGCTCTTAAGGGCACTGACCTGTCCAGAGAACAGTGTTTTCTTCACTTTGCTGCTTACTTTAGTACAACATAGCTCCAAAGCTGGTGTTTAACAAGGAAATACAACAACACCAGGTACGTGAAACATTTTTTTAAATGCATTGAACATCCTGATCAAGAAAGAGCAGTTGAGTTGTACGAAGCGTTTTGGTGATTCGTAGAGTTCAAATTTAACTTTTCGCCTCAGACGCAATCCTTGTATGAAGTGGATCTTTGTAAGTCAACTATTGGTAGTGAAATAGAATTTGGAGAAAATGTTCATTTGTGACTAGCAGTGTATGATTAACAAAGTAAAAATTATCAAAATTGGCTCAGCTATGATCATTTAAACTTCAAATGGTTTTATTTCTTTGTAACCACTGTGGATTTTGCCAGGTACGTGAAACATTTTTTTAAATGCATTGAACATCCTGATCAAGAAAGAGCAGTTGAGTTGTACGAAGCGTTTTGGTGATTCGTAGAGTTCAAATTTAACTTTTCGCCTCAGACACAATCCTTGTATGAAGTGGATCTTTGTAAGTCAACTATTGGTAGTGAAATAGAATTCGGAGAAAATGTTCATTTGTGACTAGCAGTGTATGATTAACGAAGTAAAAATGATCAAAATTGGCTCAGCTATGATCATTTAAACTTCAAATGGTTTTATTTCTTTGTAACCACTGTGGATTTTAATGTTAAATCTTTTTTTCATTGCATTTCATTTTAGGAAAGTAGTGCTATGGAAAAAATGTTGCTCCTTAAGTCTAATTACAGTACAAATTAAAAAATATATATCCCAATTCGCTATAGACATTGTATTGCATGATTCCATGACTTGTTTGACCACCAGAATTTGCATTGAACTACTTTTCCTTGGCTGGTTTCCCATTCCACCTTAGGCAGGATGAAGTTGTTGGCATGTGCGTGGGCTTTGTGGGTACTTGCTCTCTGTTCGGTCCAGGCAGCCAAAGATATCTGCAACGCGAAGCCCAAAGATCTACCTTTGGAGCCAATGTGCATCTACCGCAGCCTGGATCCTGAAACACAACCAACTGAAAAACCTGAGAAGATCCCAGCTGGCACCAACCCTCGAGTGTGGGAACTGTCCAAAGCCAACAGTCGCTTTGCCCTCTCATTTTTCAAGCAGCTTGCTGAGGGAAAGGCCAACGATGAAAACATCTTTCTGTCGCCAATTAGTATCTCAACAGCTTTCGCCATGACGAAGTTAGGGGCTTGTAACACCACACTGGAGCAGCTCATGAAAGTAAGGTCAAGAAATTGTAACTCCAAATTAGGGCTGCCCCCTAATAGTCGACTAATCATTTGTAGACCAAAATGTTATTAATCGCTTAGTCGAAGAAAAAAACATTTAAATTCACATTGGCGAAGTCACGCAGTCTGTGACGGACAGATCGTTAATGGCTTGTCTTTGTGGTAATAGTACATCGGGCAGAACATCCAAACTCTCGCCTATCATTCTTCGACCTCAAATATGGCTTATCATCTGAAATATTTATCAACTTTACATGGCCGTTCAGTCTAATGTTAATCTAGAAAAATGTGCGCTGTTCAAAGTGTCTGAGGAAACAGAACAGCAGCTCTCACAGCAGGACAGAGGCGCCGGTGCGGTCACTTGCTCTTAAATACCTACTCCGTCATTTTTGCTCATACAGATAAGAGTTATAAATCTTTCAAATCTGTAAAGACTCTATGTTTATTTGTGTGTACTCACAATAACAACAAAGCGCGCTTTTGTAAAATAAAGGAAACAGGATATGCTTTCTGCTGTCTCGGTCTCTGTGAACTTGAGCACGATACTCAGTGTATATCTTTGCCTTACAGACATTAAAAATATATCTATATTGAGTGAAATGTCTACTTTCAAATGAACCAATTCAAATGGAGAAAACATATTCTCCGATTATGTCATCTGTATGAAACATGCATACAGGCACATCACTACTGCGGAGATGTAGGTGTCGCCGACTTCATCTCAAACTGAAAACAAAGAAAGCGCTAGTTTGTCAAATTATTAAAATGTTAATGCAGTCTCCTTACTGTTTTTACCTGACACATTCATAATCATTACTTCTGCGGTGCACTGTGGCAAGCTTTATGTGTGTGCTTGAGCGTTTATTAGGAAAAGGCTCATTATAATGATTTGAAATGTTTATTAATAAACGTGCGATTAGTCGACTAATGCTTAAAATGAACGACTACTAGTCGACCAGAAAAATCCTTAGTCGAGGGCAGCCCTACTCCAAATAAAGATTGATCTCTCGAGCAGGTCAACAACTTCTCTATTCTTCACATGTAGGTGTTTCAGTTCGATACGATAAAGGAGAAGACATCAGACCAGGTCCATTTCTTCTTCGCCAAGCTGAACTGTCGACTATATCGCAAAAAGCATGAGACAACAGAATTGATCTCTGCGAACCGTTTGTTTGGAGACAAATCTACGCTTTTTAATGAGTCCTACCAGCACATCAGCGAGATGGTCTATGGAGCCAAGATGCTGCCTCTCGATTTTAAGGTTACATTGGCATAAGTGTCTAAATGTAGGTCATCTTATCCTTGACCCTGTACTAAACATTCAAGTTTCATCCTCCAGGAGAAACCGGAAGTTTCAAGGATGACGATAAATGAATGGATAGCCAACAAGACTGAGAACCGAATAAAAGACACCCTGCCAGAAGGTTCAATAGACTCCAACACCATATTAGTCTTGGTGAACGCAATCTACTTCAAAGTAAGTGAGGATGCAGAGAGATACTTGTAATTAAGATGTCATTTTTTGGGGTCTCCACCTTCCAGCAGAGTTTGGCTCCAAAACCAATTAAACTCATATGTGTGTGTGTGTGTAGTGTTCAGCATCGCCAGATACTGGCCTGGCATGCATAATACAGTGCTATTAGTCGTTTTCGGAGATCTGTATGAATAAGGAATTTTTCGGCAACATTGATATCTGTGCCAAAATGTTCAAAATCGCAAAGGAAAATTGTGTATACCAGGAATTGTGGTATAAATGTACCCTTGAACCTTGGCCCTATCACCACCTTCACTCATTGGGAAAAAAACTACCAGCCTAGCTTACTGTGTCCTCTTCTAGTTACTTTGACAATTCCAGCTCTTAAGGAGCTAATCCAGCCTCAGAAAAGCAACAAGAAATAAGCATAGTGAGAGAATTACCATCAAAATAAAACAGCTAATTTAAGTAAAATGCTAATTCTCTTTACAAATAATTGCATCACAAAATCGGTGTGTACACTTCAGCAGAATATGTTGACAACAAGCTGGGTTGCAAAACGTATGACAGACTCCCCCTCCTACCACAATACCAACAAAACTGAACGTAAGCATTTAACAAAATTATGACAGGGCTCTCAGCAAAGCAAATTAGAAACAGACACTTCAGCACCATAAACAGTAGTGGTATAACAAAATGATGAACAAAAATGATGGTTCGGTGCGTACCTCGGGTTTGAAGTCATGATATGGTATGGGTTTGGTACAGTGGAAATAAAAGTAAAATTGCTTTTTTATTTATGACGTAGACGGGAGAATTCGGCATCTTTCATTTAACCCTACACATTCCAACACAATCTGAATAGGCAGATCTGAAGGGATTAGTTCCTCAGAAATATTTTACTTAAATATTGATTGTCAAGTTACAAATCCCAGATAGCATGCGGATGTGGGCCACTTAAGGCAATGATACGGCACTGCTGACCTTCTTATGGGCCGTACAAAATAGATGTAAGCCTGAAATGTAAAATAGCAAAAATGGTCCAAATGTATCAAATCACATGTGAGCCTCTGTAGACAAAGATGCTGTGTTCACGGCAATGTGTAATCTGAATCTGACCCTAAAGTGGCCCATGTGGTAAATAGTGAACATGGCCCAAATCGTGCCAACCAAATGTGGGCCACCTTTGACAAAAATGTAGCACAAATTGAACCAAATGTGGTCCACATTTTGTGGTGCTAAAATATGTTTCAGCAAATGTGGCCCAGGTATATTAAACCGTATCTGGGCCAGTTTTGGCAAAGATATGGCACAGTGAGCACTGGCTAATGTGGCTGTGAGCCTAAAGTGGCCCGCATATAAAATGACAAATATTGCCCAAATAATTAACAATTTGGGCCACTTTTGGCAAATATACTGCACAGTAGAGGTCTGCGCGGGACTGTTTTTTTAGTCCCGCTCCCGCAAGGTTCTATTCCGCACCCACCCGCTCCCGCTATATATTCACTCTTTGTTCACCCGCTGTCCGCTTAGAATAATTTTCTTCCCGACCCAACCGTTCCCGCTAAATTTAGATCTCGTTTCCAGAATCTCACATTTAAATTTCCGCTACTCGAAAGAGAGATAGGCTGACAAATAAAAGTGTAGTCTGCACAAAATTGTATGTTATTTTATTCGTCTTGTCGTCCTGCCTGTTCTGTCTGAGGGCCGTATATTTACCACAGGTACAGCCTGCTCTGAGCATCGTTATGCATATGCTGCACACAGACCACGTAAATAAAACGTGTGACGTTTAAAGCATGCGTGCAGCGCATGCATAACAGTCCTGAGCGCAAGCTGTACCGGTGGTCAATAAGAATAAAGCACAGATATGCTGTTCTAAATGGACGTCGGGAACGGGATATTGTTAGACCGCCCGCTCCCATTCAAATTACACCAGAGTTACCGACCACTACCGCATTTTATTCGGGAAATTAATCCCACGGTACAAAAAATCCGGTCGGGTCCCGCGACTGCAGACCTCTACTGCACAGTCAGCATTGGCTGATCAGTGTGTAAGCCTAACTTGTACCACATTTGACATGGCCCATATGCTAGGGTGACCATACGTGCCATTTTCCCAGGACAGGATTTCTATATTGCCTAAAATATCTAGGATTTGGCTTTGTTTGCGTGTTCAGACCAATCGGTGTATGACATCAAAATACCATACAGACGGTTCCTTATGCTTTCAAAATGCTCTCGAGGTATTTTGATGTCATACACCAATCGGTCTGCACACGCAAACAAAGCCAAAACTAGACATTTTAGGCAATATAGAAATCCTGGCCAGGACGCATCCTGGGAAAATGGCACGTATGGTCACCCTACCATATGCCCCATACATTTTAAAACAGATGAGGGCCACTTCTGGTTTGGATGTAGCACTTGACACTGGCTAATTGAAATGGAAGTTTAAAATTGTAAATATGGCCTAATAGAATTTGGCTACTTTTAGTAGGATGCAACACAGTTAACTGATGCAGAGTGATCTGAATATGAGTCTTAAGAAGGCTACATACCCAGCAACTTCTTTTTGTTTTTTTATGTGTACTGTGCAGCATAAAAACAGAAGTGCAATATAATGATAGCTCTTACTGTCACAGATTCTGTTCATTTGGACATTGTTTTCCTTTGTTGATTGTATTATTCTGTTCAGGTGTGCCTAGTTAATTGTCCTTGTTTGGTCTGAGTACTTAAGGTCCTGTATGTTCACTTTGAGTTTGTCTGGTCTTACGTCTACATTTTTTAAATGTTGCTGTGCTACAGTGTTTGGATTTACCCTTGTTGGATTAAAGACTTATGATATATAACCTTTCATCTTCGTTGTGCGCTCTTTAACACAGCGTAGTCGTGACACTTACTGACTTACTGTGTAGGTAGAGTCTGAGTGAGAAGCATTTAGGTTCAAACTTGTGAAGAACTGTTTTTAAAGTATTGGGATATTACTTTGAATATTTCTCTGTGACATCTGAATTGCTGCTTGTGCAAAATTTGTGTCGGGATGATTTTACCAAGTGGGACACATTTCTGGAACTTATTTGAACATTTATGGTTTATTTGGTATATTAGTAGGGTGACCATACGTGCCATTTTCTCAGGACGCGTCCTGGCCATGATTTCTATATTGCCTAAAATATCTTGGTTTTGGCTTTGTTTATGTGTGCAGACCGATCGGTGTATGACATCAAAATATCTCGAGAGCATTTTGAAAGCATAAGGAACCATCTGTATGGTATTTTGATGTCATACACCGATCGGTCTGCACACGCAAACAAAGCCAAATCCTATATATTTTAGGCAATATAGAAATCCTGGCCAGGATGTGTCCTGGGAAAATGGCACGTATGGTCACCCTAATATTAGCTCAAATGTGGCTATGCGGTGGCCTGCTTGTGGACCACTTCCAAAATGCCACCATTCCATGCAGCATGTGGTCCACATGAGGAATGTGGGGAAGATCATGATTAGAATAAAAATCAACTGTGTTGATTTGTGAGTTTTGATACATCAACTGTGAGTTTTGATTTCTTTGGTTGGCTCACATGCAGCAATGCTAATCTATTTATTTATTGTCATGGCTGACATGCAGCCTTCCTATGGCTTGCTTGTGGCCCAAATTTGGCAAACCGGAGCGGACCGCACAAGTGCAATCATTCCATGCGGTATGTGGGCCAAATGAAAGTGTCAGGTTTGGGCCTGATCTGGACCTCAGGAATTTTGCTATCTGGGATTGCTTAAAAAAAATATGTATTTAAAAGTTTCATTTATTCTATACATGTACAGTAGATGACCTCGACAAATTGTTCAGGATCACTCGAAACTTCTGGGAAAGTTTGTTGGAGCTAAACTCTGGAAAGTGGCCCTCCATGAGCAGGACTGAACTCTCCTGACTTGTGAACTCTGTAACAGTCTGGCTTTTGTGTTCCAGGGTCAATGGAAACACAAGTTTGATAAGCAAAATGTCATGAAGTTAGACTTTTACGTCAGCGAGACATATAAGTGTCCAGTCCCCATGATGTATCAAGAGGGGAAATTTAAGTATGCCAGAATCAATGACGACAAGGTGAAGATTCTTGAATTGCCCTACAACGGTGCTGACATCACAATGGTGCTCATATTACCTACTGAAGGTACAACCCTGCCGGAAGTAAGTTGATTATAAACAATAGACAAAAAGTTCTCCTCAAAAGATCTCCTCTAGTCTTACCTAACAAAACTGCATCCAATTAAGGTAGTGGAAAACATGAACCTCAAGAAACTTGAGGGTTGGTTACAAGCCATGAAAGAGACCACAGTGGTCGTGCAGGTTCCTCGTTTCCGTATCGAGGACAACTTTAGCCTCAAAGAGCAGCTGACAAAAATGGGCCTTGAAGATCTTTTTAGTCCAGAAAACGCCAGCCTCCCAGGTACGCAATTAGTTTGATTGTACAAATTGTTGCTATTGTTTTGGCTTTAAAATGTTCGAAGGGATCGTTCACCTAAAAAAACATGCGGTCATCATTTACTCACCATTATGTTGTTCCAAACTTCTGTTCATCTTCTGTAGAACCTAAAAGCTTTACAAGACTAGGAATGTAGAGCACAAGTCATATGGACTACTTGTATGGGGTCTTGGCTTGATTGCTACGAAATTTTGTTGTATGGATTTGTGTTCATGGTTGGGGTGAAATCTTGAGTTTAGATGCATCTACACAATATTGTCACGTGTTGTGTTGCACTAGGGATGGTTGCCGGTGATGGGCCCAACTTGTACATCTCCAACGCCTACCATAAGGCCTTCCTTGAGGTAAAATACATTCAATATTGTTTGCAAACTCATGTTTTTATGATTAGCCTAACTGAGTAGCAAGACAGATCACACAATTTCTTAACCAATGGTCTGGTTTTCCAATTTTTCAGGTGAATGAAGAAGGTAGCGAAGCTGCTGCTGCCACAGCGGTTGTTGCTACCGGACGTTCCCTAAACATCTTCCGGGAGAATTTTGTGGCGGATCGACCCTTCCTTCTGCTAATCCGTGAGTCCAGCATCAACGCCTTGATCTTTACCGGCCGAGTCGCAAATCCTTGTGGGAGCAGCTAACATGGATTGGATATGGATCCCAGACTATGAGGACAGTTATTGATTGTCCTCATTTTCAACTTGACAAGGCAGCCTTGTTTCTTCATTATTGCTTAATAATGAACGTTAAATTTGTCATATGTTGTTTTTATCAGTCCACCAAACAAGCACTGGAAACAAGCACATCAAGAGGAACAAAGAGGATTTACAAATGAAAAATAAAAGCAATATGTACAGGCACAGAACAAGGATAAAAACAAGTTTATTTTGTCATATTAGAAATTTGGGTTTAGCAGTATCACACAATCTGGGCTTACATAATTATACATTTTAAGAACAATTAAAAATCCTTCACAGTTACACTTAAAGTGCTTTGTTTCTATTTAGAAGAATGGACTTGACACACTGCCAGTGAGGGAAAAAAACATAGTGGTTATTGTGAAAATGGCATTCACATTATTAATGCTTAATCTTTCTGATTCCTGTACCATTTTAAATGCGAAAAGTCTCGAATTTTAAGTAATTATAAACTGATTCATTTTTCAATAAATATATACTGGTTTGCTATTAAAATTAGAGTAACTGATTTCTAAGATAATTCTTATGTTTTGGAATTTGGACCTTTTTAACAATAAAATACCTATTATATTTAGTTTTATTTCATGGATATGTAAAATAAAATATTTCTAAAATACGATTTGACTTAAAGTGATTAACATCGCATAAGGACACATGGAAAGAACTTTACAGACTATATTGCTTTTTGCAAGATAAAACAATATAGCGAGACAAATCATAAAGGTCGATATTTTGGCTTCTCTTGGTGCAAATTTAGATGCCTGGAAATGTCTTTATGTTTGGCCGTTACAAAAGACAAAGACAACATGCAAATAAACAACTTCTACTGAGGGTCAGTAGAAAAACAATGTCTTGTTTCCTTGTACAAAAACTCTTTTGAGGTAAGAACTGACAACTTTTTTTGACAAAGCATCACGTTTGCTTGCTTATTCAGACAGACTAAAAGTCTTGAAATATATACGTCGGTTATTTGCATTGAAGTGTCCTCTTCTGAAATGTGTTATTTGTACAAAATATTTGCTCCAGAGTGACAAGACTGAACAAACTCTGAAGATATGGTTCAGTGTTATCATTCGGTCTTCCCAAAAAAAACAAAAAAACTACTAAGTAGAGACATGCACTGTATCACTTTTCACAAGTTAGACCATGAAAAACAAACAAACAAAAAAAACATGAGGTAAATGTAATCTCTGAAACAAATTTTTATCACATTTGCCAATATGTATAACTGTTTTACAAATCCAGGACACAATTTTTTCTTGTGAAAATCTATTGGGTATCAGTTTCACAACTTTTTAAAAGATGTGTTCATTATGGTGTGTTATAATTCTGCACCCCTTTATCTGAAAGACATTTTGGAATTGAAAATGAGGTGAAATATTGCTTCAAAAGTAGTTCCATTCCATTTGAAACTACACATTCTGTAACACTGTTAAGATTAGACATAATTTGGTTAGAAATGACTTCAGTCAATACCATTAAACTGCAGTAGATGTATTGTCATACAAACATTAAATATTACAGCCTAATATATACACCGTAGCAACACATTTATCCTCCGCCATGTTACTTAAAGCTTAAAAACAAATACAAAAGCCAAACATAATATTTGAATGAATAATATTGTTTAAAATAAAAAAAGAACAGGCAGGTTGGTCAACCATCGATGTTTTGAGGGTCAACGATAGATATGCACAAAGGGAAAACATGCTGAAAGTTATCATTAGCCCTAAAACCCAAATTAATATGATTAAATTTAGACTGCTAAAATGTGCAGTACAATAACTGGAATGACTTATTACAGATATAGATCCCTTGTTATTAAATTGCAATTAATTCATTCACATAGAGATAATTTAAGTCACTATCACCCTTATATGATTGGCATACACAAAACAGGCCCATGCCCCAAATCTAAATTTCAACTTAAAGGCAAAGTCCATAAAACAAACATCTTTTCTTGATATATTATAACATATTAGATTATGATGATGTTGTTTACAGACAAAATCATTTGCCCTTCTCTATTATCATGAGGTTGCATTTTGACAAATAAAAGCAATATCAACATGCTCTTCTATTTACCTGGGTTCTGCGCTGTACAACAAATGTGACATACAGTTTCAGGATTGTATTTCACTGCAACTGCTTCTGAAGCATGGGTATTTACATTGAGAGGAAATGTTCATATGGATGTCTTTTTTTTTTTGCTGCACTTGTGAAATACTGTATGTCGAGCCAAGTTACCCAGAGCTAGAATTCCAAGTAAGAAAATCTGCTTGGTACAAACCAAAAAAGGTAAACACAAAAAGTAAACAGTGAGTTCCTGATATTTATAAGAAGTGTTTACCTGCTGACCTGTGTTCACAGATGTGAGAAATGGTAAAAGTAAGTTCTAACCTGCGTTTATATGAAGTGAGGTGCACAAAATCCCTATTGGAAACATCAGTAGCTGATTTTTATATGCATCAACCCTTTCCTAAAAAAATCAGTCACAACCAAGTGTGATTCACAGCCTTATAAAAATGATAACAGCTTTACTTTAGCTTAAAACACCTTTGCTTTTTGTTGATCATTCTAGAAACTGTCTCTGAATAGTTATTACAAGTATAAATTTGTCTAAATATGCATAAGTGGCACATGTATATAGATATACAAATATTCTCAAAACAAAAACACCCCCACCCATTCTTTAAGTGCCTGATGTAATCTCTTTTTTCGCCCTTTGAAGATTGAAGAAGGTTTAAGATCTTCCACAATAAATTTCAGTTCCTTTGGTTACTGAAAGCTTCAGTAAATTCACGTCATAGCACCAGCTGGAAACATCTGTTCATAAGCCAATGGCCCAAGGTTAAAGTGCCTTCCATCAGATGAAGGGAAATCTTATACTCAGTCATTCCGTGGCATTTCGGCATTTCCCAGTCATCACAGACATACGGTTTCTGTTTTCCAAAACAGCATCGACAACCAAGTCCGTGCTCTTAACACAAAAAAGGAAGAAGGTTATGTCCTCTGAGGGACACCTTTCCCCCTGCTCAAACACATTCTTACAAACAAAATATCGGCAGACCAGTAAAACAATTTGGTGAGACTTGCAAATCTCAACGAGTGACTTAAAACGTATGAAAAGAAATAAACACTGAACATAAAATTCGGCTGAGTGCATCCACACATCTGCGTGCGACAGATCGGTATTGCGTAGTGATGTGAGAGAGAGGTAACTGAGCGGTCTATTGTAGCTTATCTGAGGTTGAAGGATTTCCTGTATTTTATATCACTGTATCGCCAACATTCAGCAGCTGAGTTGTTGAGTTTGGAGATGTATGAAGGCCTTAACGAGAATTAAATGTGAAATAAATACATATGTCACTGCTATACTCTACTTTCGTCTTTTCACCAGCGTGCCTATATCACAGTATTTCCACCAACATTATTAAAATAAAAAAGTAAAATAATATGACGTGACTGTTTCTTGTTATAAACCCGAAGTTCTATAACTACAATTTCCTTGCGTGGAGGCTAATTGTGAGTAATGCGTTTCGGTTCTACGGCAGACCGGATCAGCACTTAACACAAAACAAAAAATAAATCAAGAATCTGATGTTAGGTCAGACCTGAGGGTCCCTAATAAAAAACTGAACCCGTTTTCCTAAGCTTGCCATGGCTGGGGAGTGCAAAGTCTAGCCCCAGGTTAATTTATCAAGATTGTCTCAAGGCAAAGTAGCGAAGGACTACGATGTCCTCTCATTTTATAACTCATCTTCTGGCACAGAGACGTTTGGCAATTTCGATGCAATTTGACCAAATCATAGCTAGAGCTTCTCTTTTAGTTTATCCTGAAAGGTCTGTAGTAGTACAAAAATATAAAAAAATTTAACATATAAAAGACAGGAAAACAAAAAAATAAAACAAAAATCACTGCATCCAGTGGTGTGTGAGGTTGTTGGGAGTGTGGCTTGTCTTCATATATTGATGTCCTGTTCAGTTTGTATGGTGAAGGTAGATGTGGTTTAAAGCGGAAATACCATTTATAAATCCCTAGAGAATACTATTCCTAGCAAATTGTTCCTTGCATCTTTGTTATCACTGGAAAAAATAAAGGTTCTCCATCCAAGTAGGATGCAGAAGACTCTCTCTTATTTGATCCATTCCTCGTTGACAGCAGCTGAGAGAAACTCCTGCTCACTCAACTCCTTCCAACTTGCAATTTCAGTGTGGATGGTGGGAGACAAGGGACAGAGGGAACTCTCAAGATAAGGTCCTGCGTCTCCCTAAACTTGTAACGTTTTCCTTCAAAGCCTTTCAGTCGGGCCCAGTAGTGGATACCGAAGGTTGAACCCCTTCTCCGAAGGACGAGCCGGCACCTCCCCCTCCACCATTGCCCTCGGCATCCTCCTGGGAGGGTGACTCATCTTCGTTTTGGCCTCCACGGGAGGTGACCGTGGTGGTCTCGGGCGAGGCACTGTGGGACACCTCCTGTGGGGCGCAGCCTGGATGGTTCTTGCGGAAGTGCTGGTTGAGGATTGCCTGGAACGGGAAGCTCTTGCCACAGACGTGGCAATGGAAGGGCTTGTTTCCTGTGTGCTTACGGATGTGGTACTCGAGTTGGTCCTTGCGGGTGTACTTCTTCCCGCAGATTCGGCAAACGAAGGGGGTAATGCCCATGTGCAGGCGCATGTGGCGATCTAGGCTGCCCTTCTGGTTGAAGGACTTGCAGCAGTAAATGCAGGTGAGACGGGGGTTGTAGCGGAACCACCGGTCACCTACCTGTTCTCGTAAGTACTCCTCATATCCCCCCATGTCAAACACGGCTTGTTCCTCTCCCTGATAAGGGAAAGGTGAGAGGTTATGGTTTGTTTTCATGACTCCCAACCCTTTTCCAAATTGAAATGCACTCTAAGTTAGGCACACCACCTGTTCTGAGTATTATGCAACTGCAGGCAATTTAAAGCTTCTTATTTGCTCGGTAAGGTGTGTACCACTGATATTCCTTTGAAACTACTTCAACTGTGTTCAAAGATCATAAAAAGTCTGGGGAGTGAATTTCGAGGGATACGTCGTTTCATTTCCAACTGGTTAGGTTTATTTGGAAATGAAAGTGATTTCTATATTTTATCCATTCAAAAGACTACGAAAGCGATCCCAGTTCTGCACATAAACCTAGCGCAATATAGACTAAAAACGTAAAGGGATATTTGTGTCTATGGTTTGCTGTGGGCACTGTCTTCTTTTGTGATTGGCCATAATACCTGCAGACTGCAGCCAATGGAAATACTTCTCTATCGGTGCGCGTGCTGCTCCTCACAGCATAGATCGTGAAAGCTGACTGCAGTTTTTGTCATTCATTATAAGTGTAGAGACGATGTAAATAATAGATTCAGTGTGCAGTGTAGAGAGCTTCATTAATTATTGCGATGAATGAGTGACAGAATTTTAATGATTATAAAGGGAGTTTGCAAATGTGAAATTCAATTTATACAACATTTTTATACATTTTTGATTTTATAGGCTACATGAGTTAATTTTAAGTGACTTACATTTTAGGAACACTGTTGTCTGATTATGCTCTATTTCCTCAACTAAAATAATTCCAAACAAATCACAGCTGAGCTGCTGCGCATCTCCAAGCAAACACAGCGCTGTTTCGTTTATGAGTGAATCTGTGTTTTTGAACAAATCTAGTGAGTCATAAAGGGAGTCAATTGCTTTGTTCCTAAATGAATCAGCCATTTGAACAAATTGATTGAATGAATGATTCAGTGACAAAGACAGTGACTTGCTGTCACCTACTGGTGGTTTCAGTTTCATTTTAAAGTATAAATTGAGTCATTTAAATTGTTTAATATTTCTACATTCAAAACTTTATATTTAAAGCATTCATTTCATAACATTGTTATTATTAAATACATTAATGAGTCTTGTCAAAAAGTCTGTAATGCCACATCTGTGCTCTTCTGTGCCATGCAAAGATGAATTGTTGATGCTGATTTAATTTGACTAGTAGGTTAACTTATTCTTCCTGATTGTATCTTATTATTTTAATTGAATTTATTGTTTAATTAAAATTTTTGATACGTTTATAATTAAAAAATATTTGGCACAAAAGATGGCGTACATTTAAAAAAGTTTTTCACTTTTAAGGATTCAAATATCGCCTTATAATAGGAAGGTTAATTTCCGTCATTCATTAGAAGGTGTTCTTAATTTTATTTTATTTTTTTTAAGTAGGAGCACAAGTGCTCTTGAAAAGAAATGTAAGCGGCGTAGAGAATGTAATGTTACCTTTTAAAAACTAATTGCAAATGTTTGTGCAAAGTGTAAACTATTAAATATAATCTACAAATCATGCAATACTGTACCACTAAATAGGAAGTGTTTTGAGGGCTTAGCTAAACAGGCCAATTAGAGACAATTACTAATCATTCAGATTTTTTATTAAATCATTCTTTCATTTCACTAATCAATCCTTTTTTTCTTTTCTTTTTAAATTAAACACAAAAGGTCATTAATGATGCTTACATTATAACATGTGCAAATTCACACACACAACATATCTTTAATATGGCCAGAATTGCCAGAATTGTCTTAATATCCAAGAAGGTTTAGAGAAAATATGAAATAAGTTTAATGTTATTATAGATTATAAAGGGTTTTATAATTAAATACATCTGAAAGGTAATCTAAAATTACCATTATTAAAATTAATAATTTAATTAAAAATAAACATTTTAATAAAAAAAAAGCTAGAGTCCCCCCCAGTGAATTTTGGCCATTTCCACCACTGGTCTTAAGGTTGCCCTACCTGTGAGGTGGGGTGTCTCTGATCGTCAACTCTTCCTGGAGACTCACTCTTGGCTCTCTGGCGATCAGCCATTACAACCACACTTCCTGTTGGACTAAACCTGAAAGAAAACAGTATGGGTTCAATCTTTTACAGGAACCTTGTTGGCAGAAGAAAATGGGTTACTGGGGTAAATGCAGCACATCTTAAAGTATCACATCTGGATTATTTAAACCTTATAATCAACATGAAATAACATTTGCAACTACAGCCAAAATACATCCAATTCAGTGTAGAATGGTAAAATACAGGACTGACAACCATATAGTGCTGCTGTGTGAACGTGGCGTATATGGTATCATCCAGTACTGACTGGATAATGTATATGGTTAAAGGAGAGAGGTTGAAAAGTAAGAAGGCTTGGTGACATTAGCTGAAATGTGGAGAAAGGCATTACATTTCGATAAAAGACCATTAAAACAATTTCATCATAATGAACTGAAGAATTATGTGCAATAAGATTTTGCTTTCATTTTGAGTGAATGTGAACTTCAGAAAGATTACACACCTCTCTGTTTCACTGAAGCTACTGGACGGCTGGGAGCTTTTCCCACCTCTTCCTCCTTCCTGAACCAGTGTGCTACGTCCTGAGGTGTCAATCATCACCGTCGGCCCCTCCTCTGCCCCACTGCCCTCCTCCGCCGATGCCTGGGTCTCCGCCCCCATCCACTCATCCATCCTTTCCGTCTTAATCCGAAACCCATCCACCATCCGCACGTTCTCCTCTCCGCCTCTCTCCACCTCAGTCCCCGTCTCGACATACCACTGCCCGGCTCGGTTAATACGGAGAATGGGCTCTTTCCCAGTTCCCACCTCCTCCGAGCCAATGCCACTGTGCTCCACTATCTGGGGGCTCATGGACTCCCCAGGGGGACTGATCTCTCTGACTTCCCTCACATCACGGATGTTGATCACCCCAGTGTTGCCAATCAATCGGGAACTGGTATGCCTGGGACTTAGGGAGCGGGACCCACCAAGCCCGGTCCCACCTCTTCCTGACTCAAAGGTTTGGTTGGCGGTCCTGTGGGCCCCGTTCCCAAGCTCCTCTTCCACATCTGACAAACTGATCTTAAAGTGAATTCCCTCTAAAATCTGAGTGCAACGGTCAATAATGTGCTGCATCTGAAGGAAGCTGGCAGCCGTCAGGTAGCTGATGATATCGGCGAGCTGCAAGCACAAGCGTCCTGTGTAGCAAAATGAAAGGAGTTGCTCGAACACGGTTGGGTTGCGGATCACTGATATGGAGACGGTGCTCATGTCGCTCAGTGACATGTGGTCCCTGAAGTAGGGGGAGCTGGCGGCGAGGACCACCTTGTGGGCACGAAAACTGTGGCCCTGAACATTGACCACGATGTCACATAGACGGCCCTGTATTCGCAACTGGTTCAGATGCGACAGGACGGAGTTGCTGAAGTCCGGAATATCAAGTTGGATGCTTCCTGCTCGTTCCATGCGGGCTGCCTATTGCGCTGCTTTTCAAAGCTGCTGACAAAAAAACAAGAGATGTTTAGGACTGTTACAGTGGGACTTTCTGAGCACATCAGAAATAAAAACCACACATCAACACAGAACAATCAGCATTATTAGCAAACAATGTTAAATATATATTTTTAAAAACCCAAATACTTCTTCCTATCCCAACTTTAAACACAGAGACAACAATAAGTAAACCATTCGTAGGCTGATTTCCACAGAAAGTGTAAACACTGTCGCTTTGTGGTGTGACTTTAGGGTGGGATTATCTGTTCAGCCAACCAATGGCTGACAGGGGAGTTTTCTGAAACATGTTTTAAAAAACATTATTTAGCTGCATTCCGATTCACAGGGACTCCACTTAGTTTTCAGCACCTTACACACTCAGCAGGGGATAGAGGTTCACTTCACCTGACAAGATTTGGTCATTTGGAACACTCAGTTACAGTGTCACAGATAACAACACTAGAGTCAGGTAGGTATTTTAGAAAAAAACATTTTTAAATATATTCATGTATATAATAACTAAATACAGTATTATGTATTCAAATAAATACTTAATTTAGCAATTTAAAATGAAAATGTGACCTCTTCTCAGTAATCACATCTCGCTTTGCACGCTCAAAAACAGCATGAAAAGCACTTTTTTCCCCATTACCCTGAATAAAAAACAAACAAAATCATATTTCTTTTAGCCAAACACTTCTGTGTCCAAAATCCCATTCTATCAGAGTATGTACTTTATTTGATAAATAACTGACTAGTGGGACCAATATTCTTGGTACCTATAGCGCTTACATGTGGAAAGAGCCACCCGGCTCATCATTTTTATTTTTATTTGTCAGCTTTTCTGAATCTGACAGCTCCTCAGCTTAATAGGTCTTATGGGACAGAAACGTTTCCTGGCTGTACACCTCACAATGTCAGCAGATGCAATCCGTCAATTTGGATATTTTTCGCCTACCATTTCATTATTACTGCATATTTGGCCACAATGTTCATTTGGCATGCTATAGGGAAGTGCACATATTCAAGGTGGTACAAAATGACTTGTGGGTAAATTCCTCTCTTCAACTTCCTGTGAAGTCATATGCCGATGTACACTTGTTCCCTAAGCAGTTTGCAGTGCAAACACTTAATTACTTAAAGTGGCCAAATTTCCTGAAGTCCACTTTGCACAATGTGATTGAGCAATTTAAACATACCCATTAATTAGCAAAAAAATCACACACTATATCTATAAGAATTGACACTGTTTTTTGAAACACTTTAGATTACAATGTAACATGTTGAAAAGCTACAGAGCAAAATGATGGATAGCTAAATTAATGGGTTAACAAGAGCAATTACATCAACCTGTTTAATTACAAGCTTATGCAATTACAAGCAGTTTCAATATTTTTGTATTATTAACATTCCAAATAACATTAAGTTGCGTACTTACATAGTAGCATTGCAACAATGACAATGTAATGTAAAGTATGACCCAATTTTCTTGAAGAAAGTTAGATTTGTAGTGAGATGCAAATTGTTTACCTCACCTTTTTAATAACAGGCACAAAAATCGCTCCACTCTATTTTTCGGCACACTTGCACTTCTTTATGGCTACAAACCACAGCTGTTAGAGAGCAAAGTAGTCATTTTTTCATTGCATAGGTCAGTAGGATTGATTCGCAGTGTTACTTTGTCTCTCTCTGTTTCTGACATAGTATCGGCCGACGGCGCAGGGTAGCTGTAACCGGCGGCGTGGCACCTCAGGTCGGTTCCAGTAACACACTGCAGCGCGGTGATGCGATGAAGCCTAACCGAAAAACGCGCACACACCCCGGCGCAGAGCAGGCAGGGAGGTGCCTTACCCCAGTCCACGCCAAATTTATAGTTATAAAAAACAGAACACCAAAATACGATATTCCTTTTACGACAGCCTGTTCTGAGTGATTTGGCATTGAATTTCCCCCATTTTACGACCACTATTTATCGTTATACTTATCGCCAGGGATTCTGCTGTCGCTTTCGGTTCCTCCGCCGCTCTCATATTCCCCCATGTATAACATGAGCCAATGTACAGAAAATGGCATTCTGGGAAATGTAGTTCTGTCGCACCACAGCCATAGCAACCAAAAATGGAGAAATTCCGCGAAAGGAACTCACGCTCCCATGATGCTTTGCTTTACCATCGCTGTGAAAGTGGGTAAAGAGTTTGGTTGCATTTTTTGGTGACAGTTTCTTCCTCTATTGTATGTGTGAAGGAATATATAAAGATATAAACAAAGAGGTATTTACTTACTGAAAAACTGTAAGCCGTTATAAACATTAACATGCTGCATTTTATGAATAAATTACATAAATGTAAAAGAAAGTCTTGTTGCAGGGCAATGCAGGCCCATTCCATGACATCAATAAAACTGAACCCAATGAACCCATGAAAAAAAATAGTAATGTGTCTTAACTAACAAACTGATATAATTATCCATTATTCATACCTTACCATCCGTGATTTGCATTGTATTCACACAATGAAGCTTTAAGTGTATTCAAATTATTGTATTATTAGTGTATTATTATTATTATTATTGCATGTTATAGTTATATTGTCATAGCTTTGGTTCACTGAAGAAGAAGAAACACGTTTTCATCATTGAGTTATAGAGACATCTTTGTTCCCAACAATTTAACTTGTCACAATAATCTGAGTCATTTCTACGTTTGATTTGATGAATTTCAGAGTTTGAATAGCCTATCAGAGTTTCAAATAGAATTTCTTCATCAGTAATCAGATCATAAGCGATAGGCTGCCATTAAACTTTTCAATTTTAGTGAGTTGATTTTTTTATAATAATAATACTAGATATTTAAAAAAAGCATAATAATTATAATTTAGGAAAAGGATATTATGCGGCACTGCATTCCCTATTTGTGTGTTTGTAAGCAAATGGGTAGTTGATTCATAACATATTCATGAATCAGCATCTAAATTTTAGATTTAAATATATATGGATGTATAAAGGAAAGTGTGCACTGGGTAATTAATAATAATAAATAATAAATAAATAAATTACACAAATAAAATTAAAAAAGCAAATTGCTAACAGTAGCAGTATCATGAAGTAATATCGTGAAACTGAATGTGTCAGAAAACCGTATGTAAACCTGTATTTTCAGTGTAAATATGTACATATATGCAATTTTTAAGATTTGCGAGTGGTTTATTATCATTTATGAAAATGAAAAGCTAAAGAAGATGCCATTTTAACAGTTGTCTAGTAGGTGGCGGTCTTTACTTATATATGAGAATTGTTTGCTACTGTGAAGAAATCAGAATTATACTTACATTGCATTTTATTGTCCTTAGTGCTCTTCAGGAATTTATAATTTAGTTGCATATATAGTCATATTATTTATACAATTCTATTTACAGCTACATTGGAGTTCAAGGTTTGAGACCACTTGTGAAAATGCTTCTATTTCGCTTATTTATAAATGTACAAATTAATTACGGATTAATAATTTTTAATAGCAAATCATATCACCACCAAAATAATTTGAGTTTAATAATTAATTACTGAAATAATTGACATGAAAAATTCAGATGAATTTCAGTAGATCTCTCTTTTCTCTAATGACAGCAGCACTTAAGCAGATGTGTTTTACATCTTGAGCTTCAAAGAAAAAAAAAACATTTGAACTTTTTGTACATAAAGTTTTTAAAATTAATTTTCAGGTTTAAATTTGAAATTTGATTCTGCATTGCAGATTTTAGAATTGGTTTAGAATTGGTTCTCCAGCTTTTGGAACCGATTCTAAATACTAAGCAAAACATTTAAATGTAATTTTAAATGAAAACAAATCACAACTCTTGATTGCTTTTTCTTCAACAATATTTATTAACAACTAACAGAACAAAAACACATGGACTAGATGTTACAATGTGCAACACTGAACAGGGATAAAACTGGCTCATGAATTGATTGTATATATGAGGAACAGATGGATAAATACAAGCCTGTACATTGATTCTGTTATATCGTGACATGCCAACAGAAAATTCACATAGACTTTAATCTTAAATTCTCCAGATCTTTCCATCCCATCAAATTAACTTCATTAGACTTGAGCCATGCAACCCAGCAAAGGCAAAACTACCTCTTGCAAGATAGATCAATGTGCACGAGCTATGATACATGGCGTAATATCAAAGTAAAATAATAAAATATATTTACAATTAATTAACACAACACTTAGTTCCATCCCTCCAAGTTTCAAATTTATTGGAACTGTTTCAATATAAATTAATACTGGCAGCTAATGTACATGCACACTCACTACAACAACAGTTTATTTGTTGAAAGGTGAAGAAAAACAAATACATTTACAAAATATATTCTGGATCAGGGGCAAAATAACATCCTAATACCAAATAGTGTTAACTCAAAGAAATACAAGTACCTTTCGACTGCATTTCTTCAATTTAATTCCAAAAATGTAGTACAAACAAGCTAGTATGTTTCACATCAATCCATTTTAGACAGAGTCAGTAAAGCCTATGTTGGTTCTCAAGGAGCAATTCCCAGAAAAGTGCTTGTCTACAAGTTTCCATTTGACAGGGATAAAAAAAAAAAACAGAATAATGGTTGGTTAAGTGCTTCCCTAAGTTGCAGAAAAGTTCAGGCGATCTGTCAGGAATTGCAGAAGACGACGTTTTTAATGTAGGCGCAAGCCAAGACTTCCAACAAATCCCGGTTTCTCCCAGCGTTCCGCTACCATTAAGGATCACAAACAACAAAGACGCCAAACAAACACACTCACTTGCACACACACTCGAGACGTAAATGTACACAAAAAGTCCCTTTAAGAAGAAGAGGTGATATTCCCAGAAGACACTATGGTTTCCCCGGGCGAGTATTCGGGCTCGTCCTTATTGGGGTGGGAGGAGTTGTCTGACTTGCTCCTGCTGAACTCGGCGCCCATGATGGGCCTGGAGAACTTGCCCGCCGCTTGGTCGCAGACGCCGCAGTTGAGCATCTTGATGAAGGCCCGGCGCATCTCGTTGCTGGTCAGGGTGTAGATCAGGGGGTTCATGGCGGAGTTGAGCACAGCCAGAGCCAGGAACCACTCGGCCTTGTAGAGGATCGGGCAAGTGCGGATCTGGCAGGCCACATCGAGCAGAAGCAGGATGAAGAGCGGCGCCCAGCACGCGATGAAGCAGCTCAACACGATGATGACGGTCTTCAGGAGGGCCATGGACTTCTCCGAACTCTTGTTACTGCAGCGGCCGTTGGCGACCTTGCGGAAGACCAGCTTGCGGCTCCGCGTGCGGACCAGGGCGTAGATGCGGGCGTACAAGATGACGATGGCCATGAGGATGACACTGAATACGGTGGTGCAGAAGAGAATGTAGGTCTTGTGGTAGAGTGGCAAAACTGTAGAGCAGTTGTTCATGCTCTCAATGCAGTTCCAACCCATAATTGGTAAACCGCCCAAGATGGCAGCGATGAACCACACGGTGCTGATGAGCATAAAGACCCGACACGTCTTGCCATTGTTATGGAGCTTCATCTTCAGCATGGTCAGGTGTCGCTCGATAGCAATGGCCAAGAGACTGAACACCGAAGCGGCCAGAGCCACAAACATACTCCCTTCCCTGAAGAACCACTGCGTTGGGGTCAACTTATACGTGTTGGCTCCCGACAGCAAGATGTTCGCAGTGTACACCACCCCGGCCAGCAAGTCTGACAAGGCCAAGTTCCCGATGAAGTAGTACATGGGCTTGTGGAACTTCTTGGTCCTCCAAATGGTGAGGAGAACCAGAACATTTTCCAGGATGATGAAGCAGCACACGATGATGAAGACAACAGAGTCCGCTCTGAGTCCCGGGTCCTTGTCGACCTTGCGAAATTTCCCAGTGAAGTTGTAGTGTCTGGCGATTAGGTCATCCATGGTTCGCAGTGGCTTGATAGTTTTAAATCCAAGTGCAACCCACCACAGGCCACAGAGGGGTGCTGGTGGACTTGGGAAGCTGGATATCCAGTTCCCCTCTTAGTATGATGTCATGTAAGTAAGGTTTTCTCAAGTCAGGTAAAAATCCTTAAAGAGGATGAATGTGGTCCACAAGTCCAACAACTGCATCATGAAAACACTAAAAGAAATAAATAACGGTAAATTAGAACACTAGAACGGCATATTGGTATAATACCATATTATTCATTTTATGTCATTATGTTAAACATATAAACACAGCTTCATTGAAAACTTTAAAGTGACAAAACTATTAGAAAACTAAAGTTTACTAATCCAAAGCGAAGCATATACATGAAAACGTTTCAGACCAAACAGAACAGAAAACATTCGATAAATAATTTTAAATAATCCCGCAAAATATATAACTAATTCGAATGTCCAGTATTCGCTCCTTGAATTTCGGAGTCTTTTTCTTAATGCGAATCTAAATCAATGCCAAATTCAGACGACATGCCAAGAGATGCCACAACCAAGATACACATTTTTTTAAAATAATTAATTAATTAATTAATAACGACGATTAAACCGCTAAATCGTATAACAACATTCTAAATAGCCTAATGGAAAAATGAAACATCTAACTTAAACTAATTACTGGATTGGTCCTAATGTAAAAGATTGTGGTACTTATGTACTTTTTGTATTTAAAAAATGTTTAAACTTGTAAACCAGTTTGTAAACTTGTTTGTAAACCAGAAAAAAAAGAACTACACATGGAAATAAGAGCGATAAAGAATCGCGTTAATTACTACTTGTCAAATTTTAAATAGGCTATTTGTTATTTGAATGCTCGACACTTTAATTTCAACACTGTCCGATTTGTACGACATGACAAGAGATGCCACAATTGCAACGAAAAAGTCGTCTTCACGATTAAACTGGTCTGTTACGCTAATATTTAAAAGCCATTCGCGATATTACGAACTTTCAATGTAAAACTTAATAAGACTTACTGACGGTTAAGGTGGACAAAGAGTTTCTCTTACCTTTAAATTCCAGACCACCCGTCTTGACCGTTTAATCCTGCAATATTGATGCAATGGCCAGATATCAAAGGTGCAGTATTTATCGCATCGCTGGAGTCTCGTGTGGAGGACTGTAGGGTAATTTTTCTCTGACTGGAGAGAGACCGGAGAGCCAATTCTCCCCTCTCTGCAGTTCAGCCCACCAGTTTCAATGCCCTCCCCCTTCCCTCAGTCTCATTAGCCTCTTATTATTCCACAGCATCCAAAGCTCTCCAAGACATTCCAAAACAATATGCTGGAAACAGACTGGCATCAGTTCAAACACTGATAATATTGAATAGCGCAAAGTAATAACTTTTAAACATAAATCTCTACACACAATAAAAAAAATAGTTGGATATTGTCTCAGGGTTTTATAAAAAGATCAGTTCGATTTATATTGTAATAATCTTAATCATTTTTAAACATAGAGGTTAAATATAAATAAATGTAATTAGTAATATAATAACAAAGTTATAACAAATCACAATAGTGATCTCATTATTATTGAATTAATTAATATTTATAACTATAAATAACTACAAGTAATATAAATATAACTTTCAATAATTTAGCAATATTGTAATAATTATTAAATATAGAGGTTAAATATAAATAAATATGTATGTGATATCTATGTAATTATTATTTTAATTATTTTAATTGATTAATAATAATAAACATAGAGGTTGAATATAAACCATATCATTATTTATAGTTCATTATAGAAGTAGATTTGATTTGTATTATGTCAAATAAATCACATCATGCTAAATTCAGATTAACCCCATATCACGTGTTCTTTTGTCTCTTCCTATGGGAATGTCCCAGCTGTGAACAGACTCACCCCAAACACCATGAGCTGAACCGGGTGGGCTCGCCAAGCATGACCGCTCATCTACCCGCCATTTACCCTAATTTCAGCTCAGCATTAATCACATGTGCTGCCCGGTCTGTTCAGGTCTGCTGCTCTCAGTGGCCCCTAAACCCCTAGTGTAGGTCCAGCGGCCTGCGCCTCCCAGAGCAAAGGACTATTGTGAGGGAAGCGCTTTGATGTGTCAGGGATTTACACCTCTGAGGAGTATCTTCATAGCTAGTAGATACGTTCAGTTAGGAGCGATCTGCATCTTGAGATATATTTATGAATGTTTTGAGAAAAGTGACCCCAACAAAGTCACACTTGAGTCATTGTTCATCCATCCAGCCATAAAACCCTCCGTCCATCCCTTCTTTCACGGCGGTCGCTCGGATGTGTGGGCCAAACTGAGGTTAAAAAGTAAAACACAAGAAGTTGTGATCACTCTGCCTGATCACCATCATTTGGGAAAAACAGACTCAGATTTTCTGAAGATAATATAAGGGTGCTTATCATTATAGTACTCACCACCATCATGTCTAAGTGTTGGTGGTTGCCAAGTAGTTCTGAGTGGTTGCTAGGGTGCTGATATGAGGTTGCTAGTTTTATTTGTGGTTGCTAGGGTTTTCTGAGTGGTTGCTTAAAGTCACGTCTTCAAGAGCGACTGATTGTTCATTTGTTGGTGGTAGACAGGGTATTTTGAATGGTTGCTAGGGTGTTCCTGTGATGTTAGGTTGTTGCTAGGGTCTTCAGTCAGAAACTTAAAGACATGTCCTCAAGAGTGATTGTTCATTTGTTGGTGGTTGCTAGGGTGTTTCTATGTGTTGTTAGGTTGTTGCTATGGTCTAAAGTAGGGCTGTGCAAATAACTGAATTCGATTATCATGCGTATCTCGTAAGTAAAGCTGGTTCTGTGATTAGTAGTAAATCTCCATCACCTGCTTTCAAATGGAGCGGCATTTACTACACAGAGCCATAGTTCACTGACAAGCTACGCAATATTGCATTTGTTGTCATTGTATTTCTATGTGCAGAGCTGGGTAGATTGCTTACAAATTGTAATCTGTTACTGATTCCAAATTACATGACAAAAATTGTAGTTAGTAACGTAACCAATTACATTACAGATTTTAGGTAATATAATCAGACTATTTTTAGATTACTTCTGACTCTTTTGATATCATTTATCACATTGATTTAAATAGCATAATCTTGTACCATATCGATATAAAAATACAAAGGGTAAGAAAATATATTCTGTTCGTTGTTATCAACAACATGAAGTGCATTAAACCTTATGTTACATCAAGGTTAATGTGTTCATGAGTAGTTGATACAATGTTGAAACACTTCTCAAACCTGAAATCATTTTTGTAAATTCAGTGGTCAAATGCTGTGTAGCCACCTGATTAATGACTGATCTCTGTGTGAATGTCCACAAAACTGGACTTTCTGAGTGTATATAAGCGGTAGGCTATTTTAGAAAGGAACATTTAAAAGATAAACAAGAGGAATTAGGGAGAATCAATAAATTATGAATAAAGTATTGCTATTGTGTGAATAATATGTAATCATGTAATCCATAAAAAAGTAACTGATTACAAGTATTTTAAAATGTAATTTAATCTAATTACAAGTACTTAATTTTTGGAGTCTGATTACGTAATCCAGATTACATGTAATGTAATTCTTACATTACATTAAAAAAATTATTTGTTTAGCCACAGAATCTTAAAGACACATCCTCGAGAGCGATTGTTCTTGTTAAAGCGGCTTCTTCAAAGATCAGATCGAGAGGTCAAGGTTGCAAGGGGTCAAAGTTCACACACCCGGCGCTGCTGTGAGAAACCCTGCAGCTGTATATTTTTCGGAGCGACTGGGGGGTGGGAAGAGGAAACACAAAGTTGAAGATGGAGCACTATTTTTAATGGTGTTTCTCTGACTTCACCTATGGAACGGTTTCACCGCTTCAGGAAAGCCAATAGTCCCATTGGGGGCAGAAGAATTCAGTGTGTCTTCTAAGAAAGTTCTTCAAAACATTTCTGAGCACCGGCGCGACACGTGATGTGTGTATTGCGGTTACACAACATTTCACAGAGCTATCGTGACATTTGTTTCTTTCCTTTTCCCAGCCTTTCACCTAACATGCCATGTGTTTCCTGTCAACTCCGCGCCCCATTCTTTCCCATACCATCTAAACGCGGATGATTTTCAGCCATTACAACGGACAATTAAAGAAACGTTCCATGCAAAGCATCCGGAGCATCGTGCACGATTCGCACATAAGTCAGTCAACACGAAATCTGTGAATTCCTCGGCACTTAGTATGCAAGAATTTCCCCTACAGCTGCAGTTCACATTTCATGATCACAAAGCTTTACAATTAGTGCCAAACTGATGATTGGTGGAGCCAAAGGATGTTTGACCCACGCAGAAAATATCACAAATCCTGTTTCCATCACATGGCTCACATGAATCTCTGAGGCAACACTTTCCTTAAAACGAGTTCTGGGTTGAAAACAAGTCCACAAACAATATCCATTCAACCCTCCCTATGCAAAAAATGCATTTACATTAACATACTTACAATGGATATCTATGGGACAAGATTCAGGAAGGTTAAAAAGTAAAAATGTGTAGCTCATATTTTTAATTAACGTTTTTACATTTAATTAACTTCTCATATTATCAGTTCAAAATTGTGTTATTTAAGCATTTTTTTAATTATTATAATTTTTTTATATACAAGAAGCAGAATTAATAGAATTACATAATGATATTCTTGAAAAAAAAATTCTTCAAGCTTAGTCCATAAAATACATATTTATTTAGAAATATATCAAATTAAATGAATCCATTTATTATTAATATTAATTCATTATTATTATTATTATTATTATTATTACTACTTCTAATAATAATAATAATAATAATAATAATAATACAAATAACAGTAATAATTTATTAAATTAATAATGAAATCAATTCATTTATTATGTACATTGTTTAAATAAAAACAGCAACAATTAAACATTTAAATAACAAGTGAATCAATATATTTATTTATTTAAATATCTTAACAACAACAACAACAACAACAAAAATAATACATTTATATAATACATTTCTAAATCAATTCATTTATTTAAATTGTTTAAGTGATAATAAGAACAACATCTAAAGATTTAAATAATAATCTAATGAATGCATTTGGCATTTAAATATTTCAATTATTATAAATAAATAAATACAATTATAAGTTATAGAATAAATATTTAAATCAATTATATAAATAATAAAACATTTCAATTATGCACTTATTATTTAAATATTTAACAATAATTTTTATTAGTAGCAGTGGTAGCAGTAGTAGTAATACAACAACTAAACATTTAAATAATATTATAATGAATACATTTATTATTTACCATTCTAAAGTATTATTATTAATAAATAAATGTATTTTTTAAATAATGATATAATAAATGTTTAATATAATTCCTTTCTTTAAATCATAATTATAATAAAATATGATATAATAAAATATGTAAAGAAAACATACATTTATATATTTAAGAGTTTATTATTTATTAATACTAGTTATTACTTATTATTAGTTTACTACTATAGTGCAGATGCTGTCTATAGAGCTTATCTTGAATATTAAACCCAGATCATTTCTTTGAATCCAGATGTAGGCCACTTGCAGAACAGTCTAAAGTCTTTAAAAAAAAAGTGTAAAGATCTGGTGCCCCTTCAGGCTTGGGTAATAAAAATGGCTGTAACTTGTAGTCACTACATTAAATTGACCTCATAAAGCATTCCTGGGGAATATGATCTCAGGAACAACAAATGAATTGACGGCTACAGCTAGCCAACACACACACACACACACACACACACGTACACGTGACGCGCTGCTGTTTTAACAAGGCCGTCCAGGGGTTTACACAGGCTGACATGATCTAGCTGACAAATGTGGGAAAAGTGACTGATAATGAAATATATTGTTCTTAGAAAGAAGGAAAGAGAGCAGGACAGCTATAGTCGGTTTCCGAGGTCACGCTGCCCGCCTGAAACACGCCACAAATAGCTCCTCTTTCAGTTACTCCAGACACATTTGTTTGAAATGCTAGATAGGGAAATTAAACGGCTTCGCAAACGACAGATCAGCAACAGGTCGAACCATGAGAGAGGAACCGTTTACTCTCTTATTCACAATCCAAATCTCCCCCAAAACCCTGCATCCTTTTGCTCCCGAGTCCTGACAGGCAAAGCTAGCATAAAAACGTAAACGCTAACAGCACACAGACTACA